CCATATACCTATTATATACTACATAGAGACTCTGATGAAACTCGGGCCACGGAAAATGTTTCGAGTTTCCTTCTCGAAGCGCGAGTACTTCGAGACTCGTTTCTCTTGCTCTGCTTCGCGAGCGAGGACAGTGCGCGATGGAAGGTCGGATCCCGCTACCACCGTGCGCGTGCACCGAACGAATAAGAGAGAGAAGGAGGAGGGTAAGAGGGGGAACAGAGAGCGGATCGGACGGCGGCGAACGGAGGGAGAGACACGCCCTGCTGCAGGTCGATAACGGAACGAACGCATCCTCTCTCATGGTAGTTTCTCTCTCTCTCTCTTTCTCTCTCTTTTTCTCTCTCCCTCGCTTCGCTAGCAGTTCTCTTCTTGCTCTCCTACCTCCTTTTCTTCCTTCCTCACTCTAGCTTCTACCCTTCTTTACCTCCTTCTTCACCTCTTTCTCTCACCGCAGTCTCTCTTTCGACCTTCTCATTTTATCCCGCATAGTCACATACCACACCCGCTATTCTATCGGTGCCGACTGTGAGCGGATTTTCCATACCTACTTTATTGTCGAATGTATGTACATATGTATGTATGTATTATACGAAAGAGAAAAAAAAAGAGAGAGAGAGAGAGAAAGAGGTATAGAGAGAGAGAGAAAGAGAGAGGGAAGAAAAGAAAGAAGCCACCGAGCTTCGTCAGTCTTTCTTTCTCTCTCACACTCAAGCTTTCTTTTTCCCATCCCTCTCCCGTCTAGAGAGAATACAACGTGCTGCCGTGGATCGCATTATCACGCGCATCTAACCTCCGAGAAGGCTACGCCTGTCGGTATAGCGTGCCAACGAACCGAACGCGAGCGTTTCCGAGCGAAACCGAAGCGTAGATACGACGGTAGCGCGTGCAAACGGGCTCTGCGTCCGTATACCCCCACTCTGCCACCCCAAACAGGGGGCCTCACTCATCCTCTCTCTCTCTTTCTCTCTCTCTCTCTCTCTCTCTCTTTCTCCTTGCACGTGCATGCTGCGTATATGCGGCCCTCTGCGCGCGTGACACGCACTTCGCTACAGAGATACGGATCGAAGGACGGTAGTCGAGGAAGCGGAACGACCGACTGTCCCTTTCTCTCTCTTTCTCTCTTTTTGTACTCTCTTTCTTTCTTCTCTCTTTTCATGTTGCAACGTTCGAACCAACGAAGCAAAGGACTCGTCATAGGGTACGTCGCTCCGGGGTGCAATCCTCGTTTTCGATGTGTCCTCAAACCTCCCTGTTGAGGCCAAGGGATCTCTCACTCGTTCATTTTCTCGTTCATTTTCTCGTTCCTCTTTGCTTTACTCCTAGTAGTCACGTCACTCTCATATCGGTAACGGATATCGGTAACTGAACATTCTTATTGTGAAAATTGTTATCGATATGCTTTTGGTATTGTTCTATGATGGCTGTCATTCTTTTTACAGAATATTTTAGAATAGTTACGATATACTGATAGCATCGATAATGATTTTTCCAAAGTAGAAAGTTCGCATCGAATTTTTGTTCTCTCCGAATATTGAACACTTATATACATGTATTATGGATATCTGCAAATAATAATAATTATAATTACAGTTCCTGTAATATTTGATTAATGCTATTATAATATTATATATACAATGTTCGAGCATTAAATTCTCGAACAATTTTAATCACAGACCGTGCAACTTTTACTGACATGTAAACGAAAATGGAATATGGTCGAATATGCACGAAAGTCAATGATCGTTTTTGTGTGTTCTCTTCTTCCCCTTCTCTACTTCCATTATTTCTTTCTTTCATAGACATACGTACACTATGGTTTATTTCCTTTCGTGTCTTCTCATTCGCGCAACGAATCTTCGATAATACTTCGGTAAAAGGAGAAACAAAAAATAAGAGGTATATACATATATATATAAGTATGTAAATATATGTATATATATATCTCTTTCTCTCTCTCTATATATATATATAAATATATATATATATATATATAGAGAGAGAGAGAGAGAGAAAGGGAGGAAGAGAGCAACAGAAAGATAAAAGGGAGAAAGAAAAAGGAAGAGCGGAAAAAGGAATGAAGGTAGCACATGCTTTCTGCTTTTTCTGAATGCTGCGAGGCAGCCGGAATATTCCGATTGGAAACGCTCGCGAGAGACGTTATTGTTCGGACCATCCAGTCACGATTCATGCCAATCGTTGCGCTTGGAATCGCTGTGACGTTCAGCGGGAATATGAGACGAAAAAGCAGCCAGTGCGACGGTTAATATCATTGTTTTCTTTCCCTTTTTTCTCTAGGAATCATATTTTCCATTTTGAATTTTTTTCTAGAAACGTTCTTTCATTGGATCAATCAATGAGCAAAAGATCAGACGTAATAATGTTTTTCAGGCACATCATTTACTTTTAGAAGTTTAAATCTATGGTCTGTTCTTTTTTTTTTATAAATTACTTTTGAAAAATCAAGATTTCGAGAAATAGTTTAAATGTAATTTATTAAATGTAATGTATTACTGTAATTATTATATAATTTTGTAAGTATTGCCGCAATATTTGCAATCGGTAGAATTCAAGAATATTCCATTTTTAAAAGAATTTTGAAGAAATTATTAATTAAAAAGCTTTCAATTTCTCCGAAGAGTCAGTTAAAAGCATGTAAATTTTGAAGTAAATATAAAGCGGAACGATGTTTTAATTTGTAAATTTTCGATTTCGGATGATCGCGTTCGAATCACTACACATTATGAGGAGAATTATGGGATTGGAGTGGTCGATAAACGACGTCGGCCTAACTTCGGTCGAACGCGTTGCAAGGGAGCAGACCTATGTACTATGTATGTACATAGTACGTGCAGTATGATAGTATATAAGGAAGAAAGAGAAGGAGGAGGAGGAGGAAGAGGAGGAGGAAGAAGAAGAGAAGGAGGAAGAGGAGTAGAAAGAAGAGGAGGAGGAGGAAAAATAAGAAGAAGAAAACGAAGAAGAATCGAAAAAAGTGGTGGTCGTCGTCGAGACGTAGCAGCGCTTGGCTTCTAGTCGAAGTAGAAGCCGATGGCGTCAGTCGGTCTGGCTCGACACATTCGCGAGGGTTTGTCATAGGGTAAGGGAAAGAGGAGGCAAGGTGGAAGGAAGCGTGTGTGGGGTTCGTGGCGAGCTTGGAAAAGAGTCGAGTACAAAGGGAGGAGGTTAGGTAAAGTCCGTCGACGACGACGACGACGACGACGACGACGACGACGACGACGACGTAAATATGCGACAAGTTAGCGTCCGCGTATATAAATCTAGCCAGTGCTCACGGTGACAGGTCACGCAGTGGAGCTTTCTGCTTTAGTTCGCGGTGTTCCGTCCCACTTACCCACCTCGTCTACCCGCCTCGTCTACCGACCCACCTCATCTACCTGCATGAATGTATACATAGATACAATGAGAGAACTATGCGTCCACCGGCAACCCTACGCGCAACCACCTTCGTCAGGGTAATGCGACGACGTTCTGACTCTGTATGTCGGATTGCGTCGATAGTTAACCGGAGAGCAGATTCTACAAGGGATCCTGGAGAGGAAATGCGAAGCAATGTATTCCAGTGTTCTAGGCTTTGCGCGCTCGTTCGTTGCTAATATAGGTATACAAGTACATAGGGTGTACTTCGGCATATGGAATCTCCTGCAGCTCTGTTATGGACATACGAAAACAATGAAAAGGCTTCTATATAAATATATACCTTATTTGACCTTGTTTCAAAGTTACATTCGTATATTTGTGTTCCAGTAGTTCTTATCATAAACTCATTGCGGGCTAATAGAATTGGTTGAAATATGGAACGAGGTTGCCAAAGATGGTTTGGAATGTTGGAAAAGATAAGAAACTTTATTCAACGATGATTAAGAGTTTGCAACCAAATGATAAATAATTGAGTTTCAAGAGTTTTCCGTAAAGATAAAAAACTACGTATAAAAAGAAAGTCCTAAAAATGAATATATTTAGAAAGAAGTAAATGAATTTTGTTCCCGTTTTTGTTTCTTCGGTTCAATCTTGGAAATTCGTCCCACGTGTTAAGGTACACCCTTTATAAATTAGCATCATCGATATTAGGATATCTCCTTTCTTCGCGGTGTGTCGCCGACGTTTCGACATAAAGCTATCCTCGCGTGACCAATGCGTCCAGCAACACCCTCCGAAAGGGCTCTCGAGTGTTCGCATATGTAAACAGGAAAGTTAAAACCGTGGCGAAGCTTCTCTTTCCAATGACTACCGACAAAGTAGGGTCACCGGAAAGGATATAGCGACTGGCGTGTAATCAATATCGCGGGGTACCTTGTCCTTTAAACGCGATTAGGGAGAATATACCGCTGAAGGAGACTTGGCTAAAGGAAAAACGCAATGTCCGTTTGGTGGCTCGTTCTCGAGGGACGTTCGACAATGGCAAAGGGACGTTAAAGATGAACGGGTAATATGATCGCGTGTCGACGAGATAAAGGAAGAGAGGGAAAGGATTTTTATTGTCCTGGCTTCTATGTTGGTGATCGTTTCCTGTGATATCGAAGTATAGTGAGATATAGCGTTCTGAAAACCCTTGTTTCACCGATATAAATTAACAAATTTATCTAGAACATTCAACTACAGTGTCCAAAATGAAACATTTAATATCCAATGTAGTGGTTATCTTGAAGAAAATTTTATTAAATTTTTCATGAAATTAGGAATTATTATGAGAAATTTTTTATAAGTTATTTAGTTTAAATACAATGCTGAAATTAAAAATTTTAAACGTTCAATTTTATATCATTCAATAACGTAATCTCGATTAATTTTTAACAAAAATGCATCAAGATACAAAATAAATATGAATTGATATTATTTAAATATTTTAGTATAACAAAAATATAATGTATTATATTTCCTCGTAAATGTTTTTTAACTGGGTTTTATCCGAAAAAAAATAAGACATCTTTCAGAGCATTTTGGTAGGGTGCGTAAAATCGACCGGAAAAGAAGAAGGAACGCAATAAGTAGGAGGCGTGAGAGAGGAGAGGGTCGTTGAGAGGTCACGCAGTGCTACCGACAGTGATGGCAGCGGTGGCAGCTTTCGCGAAATTACTCAACTCCCTGGTATACGTTTAACTCGGCGGCTGTTACGAGAGCAAAAGCAGAATGCAAAAAGGAAACTCTGGAAGGTATACTATGCGCGCGTGCGTGGGCGTATATGCGTGTGTGTGGTGGTAGGATGGTGGTGAGAGGAAAAACGACGTGATATGCATGCGTATATATATATAGGAGAAATGGCAGATGGCGCGAGCAGACTAGTTGCGTTAACCCCTACACTTTTCTTCCACCTCACTGTTCCTCTTCTCTCTGCCCCCTCTCTCTTTCTCTCTTTCATTCTCCCTCATAAATATGGCAATCGTCACGCGACTCGCAAAAACTGGCAAATGATATCGTCGTTTCTGAACCAACGGACCTGGTCTATTGATAAAGGGAATAATTCGAGAACTCTTCTAGGTAACGCGCGAAAACTTATTGTCCTCGTTTGAACGATAAAACGGTTCGCGTGATCTACCATGCTAGATTATATGTACACAGTATGAGATATCTTTCATTTGCTTTTTACCTCGTACAATACATACGTATGTACGTACGTACTCATATTTGAAATGAGCGCTTTTTGGCTTCATTCGTGTGTTCACGTGAAAAAATCGTAAAGCATAGGAAATGATTTACAAGGTAGAAAAAGAACTGATCAACAGTCGTCGTGTGAACGTGGCACGTGCTGAATTTTAAGTATACCAAAGGTGTTGTCATTCCTATGTGAACTCAGTATGTTCTACTATACCTTTGTATTACATTCGCATTTCAAAGTTAGTCGATGTTAACGAGCCAATGTCCGAATCTCCTTCTTCTGTCCAGGTGTGTACCGCCTGCTGCTACATAGAATCGATGATAGGTGGAGCGTGGAATGGGGCTCTGCAGCTTGGTAAAACAATAGGTATGTACTACCTGCTCTCTACCTCTACCCCACGTTTAATTTCTCTACTCTTTTCTTTCATTCTTGTAAATCTAAAGCTATTATATCCGCATTAAAAGCTCCTCGTACTACATGGCTTTATATATGTACATATACTCATGGGGACAATGATACGTATAACAATAAGTATTGGGACAAGTATTGGGGACGTCGACTTTAGAAAATTTTAAATGCTCATTAATTGAAATTATATAATATATATATATATATATATATATATATATATATATATATACATATGTATACGTTGAAAAATGTTTGGTAATATGATCGATCATATAATTTTGTATAAATGATTATAATGAATATACTTGGAATAATAAAAATATGTTATCATCGCGAAGTATTTGAGTTCGATTAATGTAATAATTTAAATAATAATTTAAATAATTATCTTTAAGATTTATACGATATCTTTAGCGAGCCTCAATGTTCTATGAACTTCAACTGAGGAAATTGTACTCCAAGTAAGAAAATCGTATCACTGTAGGTATCATTTTTAAACGCAGATAAAAACGAAATGTTCTCTTTTTCTTTTTGTTAGGAAAATGGTAAGTATACGCAGTTAAAAGAAAAAATAAGCTTTTATAACTCAAAGTTACTATTTTTCTATCAAATTTTTAATCACTATTATACTAGTGATCGATTGAGAGATAACGAATAATTAGTTTACGACAGAATTTGTTTTATCGATAATTATATACACGAGATATATTAACAGATTAGATTAATGAAAAATACGTAAATAAATCAAATAATGTGAATAAATACATATAAATTACAAAGTAAATATAAACGATTAGGTTGTCCGAAAAATTGATTTTCAATGAAAATTCGGATTATATATCAATATTATATCATATTGTAAACATACGTTTTACGTATTTTACATGTGTTTATACACGTTGATCCTGTACTCTCAATGTTTATTTGTTATTTATAGCTATTCGATAAGAAAATTATTCAATAAATGATGATTATTTTATGAACCTCAGTATAAATAATCAAATTCGAGATTATTTAGAGAACTTGATTAATCCAATGACTATTGATATTTTCATTTGACAACAAGAGTCTCCAGTTTATGAGAAGGTAAGAAAAATGAAATCACATTTTTTATTCGAACAAATCGAATAAAAATTAAATAAAATCAAATTCATGAAATTTGATTTATTTGATACGTTTTATTCGATTTGTTGGTTTATTTACGTACCGGCATAATGGTCGATTCCATTCGTTCGACTTTAATTTTCTTCTGTCAAGAGAAGATTTCATAAGAACGACCCAAATAACGAACTTGACTCCAACACGACGACGTGGGAAGGAGAGATGAGGGAACAGAGAAGAACGTGCGGCCGGCGATCCCACCCTCCCTTGATCTTCGGTGAAAGGTGCTTCTCGCGAATATCTCGAGGACGCTCGACCGTTTTATCACGAGTTCCCTTTCTATTGAATCGCGCCGTCGTGCGGTGAGAGGAAAGCTCATTCAATCGATCCGCCTTGCGCGCTTTTACCACCATTCGACGGAAATTGGTACGACACCTAGATGAAGGATCCAGAGGAACTCTCTTTCTCTCTCTATCTATCTATCTTATCCGGTAACGTCCCGCTTGGAATTTGATTAAATTCCGATTGATGTCACTTTCTAAATACGCCCCTTGAATTAGAATTACGTAACTACGTTTATTCTCTCGTTCATTAAAAAGCGATCATTCGGGAATATTCTAAGTTGAGTATTGTTCTTTCATAATCGTAGATAATTTGTGACTTATTCGTCTCCACGAATAGTAATTGCTTAATTATTGTATGAAGAAAAAAAGTTGTATAATAAAGAAAAATATTGAATACATAATTACTAAAAACATTTAACGATTACGTCAAATTGATAATATTAAACATTTTAATCTAATATAAAAATAAATTATTACAAGTGAGGTAAAGAAACAACGATATCGATATAAAAAAATAATGATTAGTTTGTATAGATTAATTTAAATGGGACGTTGAAAACAACAAAATTATTATGGAATATTCGCAAAAAGCTAATCGGTAAATGAGAAAGAACTCGCGGTCCTGTGAGATATGCGATGTGATCGGAAAAGGCAATAAACGCTGATATTGTGCATCGCGAGTGGTACGAATGCCCGATTGTCCGTTGTTTACGAGTCACGAAAGAGAAAGAGAGAGAGAGAGAAAGAGAAAGAGAGAGAGAAAAAGAGAGAGAGAGAGAGATTATACAAATAGAAATAGATATAGCCTGGTACCCTGAGCGTGTTCAGCGCAACGGCTGCTGTAGTATAGGTGCATTAATAATGTAGACGTGCATATGGTGTGCAGTGAGCGTTTGGTGGCGCGCTGACTAGGATCAATGCTCCGCTCGCAATCTATACAGTAAAGTGCAATATAGGTAACGACAAACCGAACTGGCTCTCTCTCTCTCTCTCTCTCTCTCTCTCTCTCTCTTTCTGTGTAGGAAACAACACCGTTACGCGGCACGCGGCTCGTTTCGATGGAAGTTATTCGAAAATATTCGGTCTAGGCGTGGCTCTGAACTCACTCGTGAGAATAAGCACAAGGACGCGAAAGCGTCGATTACTATTTAACGCGGTTCTTGTTACTTCACGTACTTTCGATGAGAATATGTTCGTATGAGAAAGAAAGAAAGAGAGAGAGAGAGAGAGAGAAAGAGAGAGAGAGAGAGAGAGAGAGAGAGAGAGAGAGAGAGAGAGAGAGAGAATACCTTTCTCGCGAATAGACTAAATTCTTTGCAAGATTTTTCATAAAATCATGTATTTCGTCGACGGCTAAATAGGACTTTTTATTTTTAAATTTTTTGCATTATAAACATTTTTCTATTTTAGATCCTGGTTTCTTTGATTTTCTTTTTCTCCATTTTAATGTTTTAAGAAGGAAAACTTAGGTATTAGTTAAAATTATATGAATTACCATTTGAGATCACGAGCGTGAAGGTGTTCGAGTTTTACAATTGTCATATTTGTTTGGATCGATTAAAATAGAAAAATCCGTTGATATAAGTGGTTGACAGATTTTTTAAAAAAAGTTTGACCTCGATTGAAGTTTTTGGTATGTCAAGTGTTTCTATGATATCACGTTAAGAATAATATATTTTTTATAGAAGTGAAAATTGATAGAATACTTGAGACTTCAGTATAGTTCAACAGAGGAGTTAATTTAACGATTAATCATTCTATAACCCAATTTTTTTCGCGTCTAAAAGAAATTATATTATGCGAATATTACTCTATTATTTGTATTAATATAATTATATTAAACTTGGTAGAATTTATATTTAAAAAATATGAAAAATTTTAGATATTTGAAACAATTCAATTTATGATAAAAAATTAATCTTAAATAATATATGTATGTATGTGTATATGCATGCATATATATATATATGTATATGTCAGTGTACGATTGTAATGTTACATGGCGTTATAGAATATTAAACTCGATAGTGTATATGTGTACTTTTTTGTAGAATAATATAAATTCACATTCGCTAACGGAAACATCACGGATTATTAATGTCCGAAAGAAATCTATCGCTAAAATTGTTATAATGTGTGATATGAATCTGATCTAAATGCACAATGAGGTATATTAATTTCCGAGGTATTCTATAAAGCGTTGAAGAGATATCTGTAATTATCGATTTATAGATAAAAAATAATTAGTTATACATTTTATTTACATTATTTTTTTAAACCGATGTTAATGAATAATAATTATTCGTCTTTTCTTTTTACAGAATTCTATAAACCGAGTAAATTCGTAACAATATGTAATTTAGAATTCAATTTTGTGTAATTCTTAAGCTCTCATTAATCAATTATTTCCTATCGATGAATTTCTTTTCTATGAACAAATGGATACGATGGACGTGGATTGCAATGAAAAAAGAGAAATAGGAAAGCCAGTGGATATGAATACGGCATGATTCAGGCAGATACACAAACACATTGTCTTGTGATTCAGCGATAACGTACTTTATAAATTTATTCACAGGATTTAAATTAATCAAGTAGTATACAGTTAAGGTTCTTGTTTTTTTTACTCGATTTTTCTTTTCGTTTTTCTTGTCGTCGCGATTGTTGTTGTTGTTGCTGTTGTTATCATCCACGAAGCAAACGCGAGACTCCGCCGTCTCTCTTTATTTGTTTATTTATTTATTTTTCGAAACGATCGCAAGCACAATACATATGTCTGAGTCTCGATTACGTGTTTTCGTACCTTCAGCGAAAGATCTCTCCCCCCCATTTTTTGACTTTCGCACCTCCTCGTAATCATTCCTTTTTTTTCATCTTTTCCCCTTTTACGCGATGAATAATATCTTACACGAGGCGAATTTCCATATACATATTTACATATCGTACAAATTAGTCGTTCCTTCGTTTCCATCGTGAATCGGACATATAAAATTACAAAAAATCCTCTATCTATTCGAGAATTCAAAATTGTTATAAGCGAAGAACTCTATACGAGAATTACGTATAGTAAATATATATATATATAGATGCCATTATGTTTGTATGTATGTTTGTCATTATGCGCATGTATTCGATGTGATACAGGCGCACGCATATATATTTTGCACGTATGTATGTATGTACATAAACGTACACGCGTTACGACTACACGCGTACGTGCGGCCATCCATATACACATATATACAAGGTACAACCACCCGCTGATACACGACAGCGCAAAGCTATTTACACGTTTATACTCGTAAAATAAATATTTACACGTACGTGGGGGCTAGAATAAAAAAAAACTCGCCAGCGAGAGACGATTTTAAGATAAAGATTTACGCATCAGACGACGAAAAACGGAGTAATGCTTACGTCTTTTATTGCCCCTTGTGATCGCAGCGGATGAGGTCTAGAAAGAGAGAGAAAAAGAGAGAGGGAAGAAGGAAAACAAGTTCACCGATAAACCAGCGGTTTTTATAACGATGAAAGATAAAAAAATAAAATGCAAAAAATATGCCACGTTCGGGATAAAATAGAAAGTAAGGAGAAAAAGGAAGGAGAGGAGAGGAGAAAGAGAAGTAGGAGGAACAGGAGGAGGGGGTGAGGGGGAAAAGGAGGAAGAGAAGGAAAAAGAGGGAACGCTGTTACTGGAGATCCTCATTTCGCGAAGAAAACCTTAAATCGAATAGAGATATTCGTGAAGGAAAGTACTATTATTTTTTTAAACATCAATATTCATAGCTATGTTTAAAATTTTTAAAAGTTTTGATATGATTATTTTTTGAGTTTCGTTCGGAAAATAAGGGCTTACGAAATACTACAAATGGCATGTTAGAGGCGCGTTTTACCATGAAATTACACTTCGAACGTATTTGTATATCTCCTTCTTTCTCTTTTTCTTTCTCGATTGTCCGCTACTTTCGATACTGACGATCAAATAGACGTGTTCACTAACGATCCCTTTTCTGGGTGTAGTAGGTAGTTAGTAGATGGTAGGCGTATTTTGTCGTTTCTCGCTCTGTATCTGTTGAAGAGAAAGGAGGGGAAGATAGAGTAGGGGATGAATAAGTGAGAGATAGAGAAAGGATAAATAATAGTGTATAGCGTTTAGGAGGATAACAGAAGGTTTGAGGTAATCATAAAGCTGGAGCAAAACTAGCGAGAAGACTAAACGAGATAGGCCTGACCGGATGAAGGTGGTGGGGGTGACGAGGAGGGTGGTTGCTGTTGCCTCCAAGTGGATCTCTCAAGCGTCGAATAATCGGAATCAATGGACGAATATATATGCTCGGACAAGGGTCTCGTGTGATCCTCGGCAGCGAGCATAGGATTCGTAGGAGCGAGGCTGCCAGCTGGCACAGTGACCGCATCGCGATAGACATGATTGACGGTCAGCCGAGCTTGTGGCGAGGATGGTGGAGGTTGTTGATGGTGAGAGGAAATGGTACCGCAGGAATAAGCGGGTGGAGCGTGTTGCAATATCAACGCAGAGGAACCACTGCTAGTGGTAGTGTCCTTAAAAAATGTGCGCTGCCGATCTTGAGATCGAAATGTCGAAGGATTGTTTAATTTCCTACCAACACTGTCCATCGCGTAGGTGTTGATATTGCGTTTATAGACGAGAGGAGAGGATTTGTTATCGAGGGAGACATCACCAGACGCTGTGCTCGCGGTGTTTCGCGTACTCGTAGGAGGTGCTGTTGATGGTGGTGCCGGTGGTATCGCGTATTTCAGACGCTCCCAGAATCTTTTTTCACCCCATGTCAATATGAGCGCGGCGTTACGTAGATACGGTCGCAATTCAGTATCTCTCTCGAGATCGGGACCTAGATTGGCAGCCTGAACAACGATCAGCTGATTCGCTCTGCCACGTAATGCCTCGTGAAAGGCAGCCCGTAACTCGAAACGTGACCACTCTGTTTGAAGGAAGTTTCGTGTAAGGACGATCAAGGTACGTCGTGAAGCATCGACTGCCTCGAGAATGGCCGGCGTTGATGCCGAGGTACGCAGCATGCAGGGTAAATCACGATGATGAAGGCATAATCTTAGAGCCGTCGGTTCGTGCTCTAGCTCGGCTGCCAATGAATGAAGTACAAAATCTTCGTCATTCGGGCTGTACGAAACGTAACAGTCGTACAAACGTTCACGGTCCATGTCGTAGCACGACGTAATGCCCGCTGTCGATACCATAGTCGCACCACCAGTAGCACTAGCTTTAGCAGGTTTCGTACGTAAAAAGCGTAGTCCGTACTTGGAGTAAGCCCATGCTTTAACAGATTCGCGAAATACGAAGGCGAGCACCACGATGAGAAGAAGCACCAAAAAGGCCGACAATATCGCGGTTACCAGAGGTAGAT